GAGAAATATCTTGCTCTCCGTTATTCGTATAGATATATTTTTTAGCGTTTCAAAGTGAATGAAAATGCTGTTAATATGAACAGTCTTCAAGAAAAGAAAGCCATTTTTATCTGCAGTTCTTTCTGCAGACTAGAGGCAAAATTATATGTAAAATCCAAAATTATGTGCAATGGGTTTTAATTCATTTTGTCTAGCTCTAGTCTAGGAGATCTATAAATCCTCTTTTGATACCCAGATTTTAGCTTTGACTAAACTAGTTGACCAATTCTCTTAATATGCTAGCATAGGAAGCATACAGGATGCTCTTGAAGTTAATGCTATTTGTTTTTAATAATTCTACATTACATATTTCATTCAAGGAATTCCAAAGGATATAAAGAAATACACCATCCTTTGAGCTATCCACTTCATGCATATAGCATCAAAGAGACGTTGGGCCCAATTCACTGCCAGTGTAAATTTGTGCCTTTTTTCACAGAATCATAGAAAAATAGGGTTGGAAGGGACCTCAGGTGGGCATGTAGCCCACCCCCCTGCTCAAAAGCAGGACCATCCCCAACTAGATCATCCCAGCCAAAGCTTTGTCTAGCTGGGTTTTGAAAACCTCCAAGGATTGTGCACTTCCACCACATCTTTGGGTAACCTGTTCCAGTGTTTTACTACCCTCCCAAACGAGAAACTTCTTCCCAATATTTAACCTAAATTTTCCTTGCTGCAACTTGAGATCATTGCTCCTGGTTCTGTTATCTGCCACCACTGAGAACAGTCTAGCTCTATCCTCTTTTGAACCCCTCTTCAGGTAGTTGCAGACTGCTATTAAATCCCCTCAGTCTTCTTCTTCTCCAAACTAAATAAGCCCAGTTCCCTCAGCCTCTCCTAATAAGTCATGTGCCCCAACCTCCAAACCATTTTTGTTGCCCTCCTCTGGACTCTCTTAAATTTGTCCACATCCTTTCTGTAGTGGGGGCCCCAAAAGAGCAAACAGTGCCCATATTTGCCCTTTGCCAATCATCTGGGACCTCTCCTGATTGCCATGAGTTTTCAAAGATAATGGCTAATGGCGTTGCAATCTCATCTTCCAACTCCCTCAGCACCCTTGGTTGCATCCCATCTGGCCCCATGGATATGTATATGCCCAGCTTTTCTAAATAGTCCCTAACCTGTTCTTTCACCCTTGTTGGCTGCTCCCCTCCCCCCAAACTGTGCTGCCTGGTCCAGTAGTTTGGGAGCTGACCTTGCCTGTAAAGACTGAGGAGAAAAAGGCATTCAACACTTCAGCCTTTTCTGCATCCTCTGTCACAAGGTTGCCTCCCCCATTCAGTAAGGGACCCCCACTTCCTTGATCCTTCTCTTTCTACAAGTATGTTGGCAGCAACCATTCTTGTTACCCTTCACATCCCTTGCTAACTGCAACACCAATTGGGCTTTGCCCTTCCTGACTTCATCCCTGCATGCCTGAGCAATGCTCTTATACTCCTCCATAGTTATTTGTCCAGGTTTCCGCTTCTTTTAAACTTCCTTTTTGTGATTTAGTTTACTGAAGAGTTCCCTGCTAAGCCAAGCTGGTCTTCTGCCATACTTGCTAGTTTTCCTGCACATTGGGATGGTTTGTTCTTGCACTCTCAGTAAGGCTTCTTTAAAGTATAGCCAGCTTTCCTGGATTCCTCTCCCCCTCAAACTGGCTTCCTGGGGGATCCTGCTCATGACTTCCCTGAGCGAGCTGAAATCTGCTTTTCTGAAATCCAGGGTACTTACTCTGCTGCTCTCCATCCTTCTTTTTTCTCCGGATCCTGAACTCAATCAACTCGTGATCACTACTGCCCAAATTGCCATCCACTACTACATTCCCCACCAATTCTTTCCTGTTTGTGAGCAGTAGATCAAGAAGAGCATGGCCCCTAGTTCACAGTTCCAGCATTTGTACCAGGAAGTTGTTCCCAACACTCACCAAAAACTTCCTGGATTGCCTGCACACTGCTGTATTGCCCTCCCAGGGATTGTGATCAGGAAACTTCTACTAGCGGTTTGAAGAAAGCCTCATCCACCACTTCCTCCTGGTTTGGTGGCCTACAGCAGACACCCATTACAACATCACCCTTGTTGCTCTCCCCTTTAACCTTAACCCAGAGACCTTCAACAGGCCTATCTCCAGTTTCATACCAGAGCTCTGAGCAATCATATGGCTCTTTTACTTACAACACAACTCCTTCTCCTCTTCTCCCCTGCCTCTCCTTCCTGAACAGTTTGTACCCATCCATGACAGTGGTCCAGTCCTGCAAGCTATCCCACCAAGTCTCTGTTTTTCCAATTACGTCATAGTTCCGTGACTGTGCAAGGACTTCTAATTCTTCCTGCTTGTTTCCCAGGCACATGCATTTGTGTACAGGCACCTAAGGTAACTAATTGATTGCTCTGATTTCTCAGGAAGTATGAGAACACCTGCCCCTGCTAGCTCTTCCTCCAGGTCTCCTGCTTCCCCACTTACCTTAGGGCTTTGGTCTCCATCCCCTGGCAAACCTAGTTTAAAGCCCTCGTCCCTAGGTTAGAGAGTCTGTCTATGAGGATGCTCTTCCCACTTTTTGTCAGGTAGATCCTTTCTTTTCCCAGTAATCCTTCTCAGCATCCCATGGTTGAAGAAGCCAAAGCCCTGATGGTGACACCACCTGCACAGCCAGGTATTGATCTGCAGGATGCACCCATTTCTGCCCAGGACCTTTCCCTTGACTGGAAGGATCAAGGCGAATACAGCCTGAGCCCCAGACCCCTTCACCCTTGCACTCAGAGCCCTGTAGTCACTTCTGATCCATTCAGGGTCTCCCCTGGCAGTATCGTTGGTGCCCACATGGATGAGCAGCCTGGGGTAGTAGTCAGAGGGCAGGATGAGTCTTGGTAATCAACGTTCCCTCTAAGGAGTAGTGGTCTGTGAACACGCCGCTTTGGTCTGTGAGTGTGCCACTTTGGTCCCGCCTCCCCCTTCTGGTGCGGCGTGGGACACTTACCGAAGTGCTGGAGCCTGGGGGGCTGGAGCCTGGGCCTGGAGCCTGCCTACCCCAAGTGAGGCTCCACTGGGAGCTGGAGGCTGGCACAGGCTCTGCGAAACTGCTCCGCTCCCCCGCCTTGCCTCCGGGGGGGCGGAAGGCCGTGGCAGGGACCTGTTCCCTGGGGCCAGCGGAGCCCGTGCCAGCCCCCGCCCCAGCCTCCATCCCTGCCTTGCCTCACCTTGGGGAGGAGCTGCTTCCTGCCCCAAGTAAGGCTCCTCCAGCTCCGGCGAACTGCTCCAAGGCTCTGCCGGCTCCGGGAAGTGCTACACTCCCTGGCCCTGACCCCACGTGCCTCCTCGCTCCCTTAGGCGATGCGGGGGAGCGGAGCAGTTCCCCAGAGCCGGCGGAGCCCATGCCAGCCCCCAGCTTTGCCTAGGGGAGGAGCTTACCTTTAGTAAGTGTCCCATGCTGCAGCCCAGCTCCATTCCCAGTGGGTGTGGCCTGAAAAAGTTTGTGCACGGCCAAACTTTTTACTCGTGCGTGGCCGCACAATCACGCGCACCTTAGAGGGAACCTTGTCGGTAATCCTTCCGTGACATCTTGGATCTGGGCTCCAGGCAAGCATCAGACTTCAAGATAACAGGTCAGATTGGCAGATGGCTCCCTTTGGCCCCTGCAGTGGGAAATCTTGAACCACGACCACCCATTGCTTCTTCTTGGTAACAGGGGTCTTCATCCTTGCCACCTTGGTAAGACCTGGCCTGTCCTCCTCCATCAATGGAACGTGCTCTTCCTTCTCTGTTGGTATGGCTGCATATCTGTTCTCTAGACAAACTGCTGCAGGTGGAGGTGAGGATTTCTGCTTGCTTCCAGAGGTCACAAGTTTCCATTTTCCACCCTCCTGGGAGTCCATGTCCTCTCTCTTCTCTAATGCTGCCTCTGGCAGTTCTTCTTCCACAGTCCCAAAGGTCTTCTCCAACACTGAATCGATGAACTCCTCCTGGTGGAGGATACTTCAGAGCTTCACCACCTTCTCCTGTAGCTCTTTTGCCTTTTCCCTGAGACATACCACCAGGAGGCACCGCTCACACCGCAGACACCCTCTGACTTGGCTATCACTGGAAGGAACCTGCAAACCACAGTCCCCACAGTGCCAAACCCTGATCTGGGTGGAAGTGTTGATGGTGAGCGGTCCTGCCTGGACAAGCCTCACAGGTACAAACAGAGGCAGCGGCAGTGGCTCTGGCATTGCGATGTCCTCCAGCCATTTCCCTGGGTTTCCTAAGCTGCCTTCTCTCTCTTACTGCCCTTCTTCCAAGTGCACCTTCCCTAGCAAACTCACCTGGAAGCTGGCCTGTTTACTGCTTGTTGGCCCCAAAAGGTTCCTTTTTATCTTGCTTCCTCACACTGAACTGAAAGGCTCTCCTATCAAGTGGGGAGAGGAGAAGCAAACTGACCTGCAAACTGCTTACCCTGTTTGCAGCCCCTGTTCTCTGGCTCCTTGGTCCCTCAGGGAGTCTCCTTTTATATCGTGCTGGGCCTGGATTGGCTCTGCCCCCTCATAAGGCCCAGGCCCAGGCAGCAATAACTCAGCAATCAGTAATCACTCAGCCAGCAATACTCCCAGCATCTCAGAGCACACACCCAAAACACACACAGCCCACCAAACAAACACTCAGCAAACCAAAAGCACAGGTAGCTCTGGATCACTTACCTTCCCTGGGCAGGATCTGGTGCCTGGTGCCTGGCTTCTCTTCCCCTTCCTCCTCTTGCCCCTAGCAAACTGCCTGCAAACTGCTTACCCTATTTGCAGCCCCTGTTCACTCGCTCCTTGGTCATTATTTTGAAGCTCCTTTGAAGCTAAGTTTAGTAGTAAAGTTAGCCCATTGTGTTTAGACTACAGTTATTAATTTCTACTGGGGTGAAATTCAGCACAAGTCTCCACTTAAGTTCTACTTGAGAAATTATTATAAGTCAGGTATAAATGGTGCTTAAACTTCATGCTGGCCTTCTGCACAGCGGTGAATTTCAACCTGGAGGAGTCTTGGCATGTGGAAAATGATATTAAAATTAAACTGGATGACAGTTTCTGCCTCCTTACAAAAATTACTAACTTTTTCAATTTGCAAAATGTCATTATCTTTGGGGGGGAGAAAAAGGGATTCAATTTTGTCTGCCTGCAATACTGTCTGACTGAAAAGAATCCTTCAGCCTTATGATGTGTTGTAGATCTGGGTCCGAATGAAAAAAAATAAAAATCCAACTAACTGCAAGAGACCCTCAGAAATATCCCCTAGTATTATTGTCTAGGGCACTGGTGGATCTAGGATTGGGGGAATCTTATGTTTGCTGGCGGTCAGCATAGAGCAGTGTAATTGCTACATCCATTACCTTCTTAATGAAAATTCATAGTGTACACTGGCAGAATGTACACTCATGTGCAAGCGAAAGTTGCCCACTTGTAGTGCCAGAAAATGACTCAGTCTTGAGGTTTGGTTTCCTTAACAAACTAACCATTCCAGAGCAACATTACAAGAGCTAAGATTTTTCCCTACATTGGCTGTTCCTATGGTTACTTCACTTAGCTGAAACCTTCCCATGCATCGCTGTGCCCTGGGCTTACTTTCCTCAGGTCATCTCTGCCCCAAACCCTAGATCACTGTCACAGGGCTGTCCGCATATCCTTCCATTTGGTAGATTTTTTTCTGAAGTTGCCAATACCTGCCAAACATGGGAGAAAACAGGATGGTTGTAAGACCCCCAGGCCTGGATTAAAAATAGGGTAAAAGATGGCAAACTGTTAGGGTGCAAAAAGATATTGCCTTTGTGTCACCATAAAAATTCTGTTGCCAGGCAAACAGATATCCATGCATCCATGAATTTGTGCCACTGTTTTGCAGCAGATAGCTATTGGTGTTAAGGTAAGAGAATGCAGGCAGCTTGGAGGTGCCTGCACTCTCCAGCTGCCTGGGGCAGGCACTCTCAGGCATCAGGTGCCCAATCCACATGCTTCAGGAATTCCCATTCCCAGGGCACACAGGTTCATGCCCCTGAAGCCCTAGCAGTGCCCACCTGGTTTCTCTCATTTGGGATTCCTTGAGCACATGTCTTTTCCCCACTAGGAGAGGAGTGCCCTGAGATTCTCTGGGCATGCACACCTGTGGATGGAGAAACCCCAGACTTGGAATGTGTCTCTGCAAATGTAGAAACTTCTGCTAGCAGAGGAGTGCCAGGGATTCTGTTTCATCCAGTGAAGTGGATCAGCTGTGCCTGGACACATCCCATTTCTTTTGGTGGTTTGTACCCTTAGGGTGCTTGTACACGTGATGTTTTGACTATGTACACATGATGAATAGTAACGAAAAATTGCCATTTATCTAGCATAATGGTGTCACCATGTACACGTGCATGCTGTTTTTTTATGTCAAAATTTATTTGAGCATGGCAACTTAGACCACCTCTGATGTATTTTATTTTAATCATGGTCAATTGTTCTATGAAGCTTAGTTTTATCATGGCAGATCTGTCATGTGTACATGTCGCATTAGTCTGTCAGCTCATCCAGGATTCAGGGGATTGAGATGAAGACCCATTTATGGAAATACTTCACATACTGGGTCTATGACTGGATTGCATCTGCTTTCCTCTAAGATTGTACTTTACAGCAGTATGTAGTCATAGATAGGCTTCCTTAATGTCAGGTACAAACAGCTTCTCCTTTCTTTTAGTGGGTGTTCCACAGTAACCTACAGTGTATGTGAAAAAAAACTGCTTGTGATTAAAAAGCACTTATTTATCAGTATTTACCAGGCCATAGTGACTGCAGTACTATGGGTATTCTATCTCAAATACTGTGGTGTGGTAGTTGTTGCTAAATGTTGCTCTCTTGAATGAGAACAACTCTCTCACATGTAGACTATAACACTTTACTGTGCAGCTAATTCATCTACTCTGCAATAAAGCACACATGTAGATGCACCCAGCAAGAGTATGGTTTATGTCTGTGTTTGTAGAGAAACTTTGATGTACAGGCAACCCCCTGTTTCACTTACCGTGGTTTCTTTATAACACTCATTTAAAATACCTGCCTGGTTTCTTTTAGTGCTCAGCACATTTTGTTATAGCACTTAGCATGGTGGGTGGGGAGAAGTAGTGGCAGCAGCAGCGGTGTTGGTGTCGTTGTCAAGTGAAGTGGTGAGTGGCAGCTGGCGGGGTGGCAGGAGCCCGGGGTGTGCTCTGGCACTGGGTGCTGGAGCAGGCGGAGAGAAGCAGCGGCAAGAACGGGCAGGCGGGGGGCTTGGCAGTGTAAGCATGGAGCCTGGACTGGTGGGGCCCAGGGCAGGGTGGCAGGAGCCCAGGGTCCGCTCTGGCATGTGGTGCTGGAGCGGCCAGCAGGCGGGGAGGAGTGGTGCTGGTGGCGGCAAGAAGGGGAGGGTGGAAGGCATGAGCCTGGGTCTTGGGCCAGTGCTCAAGGTTGGGGTCAGCAGGAGCGCAGGGCCTGAGGCCAGGGCTGGCAGGAGGGTGGGGTCTGGGCCGGTGCAAGCCAGCACTCAAGGACATGTGTGCAGGGTCCCCTGCCCCAGGCTGCAGAGGGGCCAAGCCTGTGGAGCCCTTCCATCCCTGACCTGCAGCCCTGTAGCCTGTGACCCATTTCGCTCTGGTCATGCACCCACCTGTGAGACGTGGACACCATTCTGAGCTTTCTCCATGCTGGCCAGAGCCCCGCTTCCTTCTCGCCATTAATCCCTGGGTAGGCGTGTCCCCAGCTCAGGCCCTGCAGGTGAGGCAGCTGGGGCTGGTGGCCAGCGGATGCGGGCCAGCAGGGGCAATGCAGAGGCAGAACAGTGAGGCTGGGAGGTGCCAATGCCTTCCCTGGAGGAGCCTGTGCAGTACCTTGCTGGGAGTTGGAAGGCATGGGCCGGCAGGTGGTGTGGAACCAATTATATTTATTTACATTAAACCCTACAGGAAAATGGGTTTTGCTTAATGCTGTTTTGCTTAGTGCTCGGTTTTTCTGGAACCAATTAAGAGCGCTAAGTGGGGGTTGCCTGTACAAATCTGGTAAGCCCATTTGTCTTGGGCAAATGTAAAAATATGACTGACCTGTACATTTGTACAATAAATTAACAGAAAAAGACTTCTTTCCTATAAGAAGATAAAGTCCTAAAACAAAATTCAGAAAATATACTGAAAATAAAAATGAATGTGAGATATGACTTCTTGGTACTCTACTACTGCAGCCAAACTTTTGAACTTCTCTACACCAGTACCAAGATCATTTTGAAAGCAGTGTTTCAGGGTCTTGAGTGCTGATTGCCAACATCTTTTTCTGCATTTATCTTTTTTTCTCTACAACCTTTTCTCCTCCCTTACTCTTTGTGGAGTAAAGGTGGAAGCCCCTTGAGTAATGGGTGGTAGAAGCAGGTCCAGAGATTTTGGGTGTGATTCCTCTCTCATGTAGGCAAATTTTCTATTAGGGAAATTCCACTGACTTCAGTTATAGCACTTCTGATGTACAGAAAGAGAACACAGTTTCTAAAAACCTCAGAGTCCTAACGAGGAATCAGCCCTGTCACATTTTTTCCAGATGTCAGCACAGGACATTATTTGAATACATTTAAAGCAGCTATGCACAAAATGAGTCTCTCTGTTGTTTTTTGTTTGTTAATATGCACAATTTGTCTACCACAGGTTGAAGCAGTTTATTATTTTGCTGTGGGTGAGGTTCCTGAGGATATGAAACATCTACTCCTTCAGAAGTTTTCTGACTGTCCTTTCCCAATCCATCCAGTATCTTTTAATGCCAGGGAAGAAGATACTATTGTTTTCTTGAAGGAGCTGGGCCGCCTGACCTCTGGCAGGTATGGGGGAAGTAACCACAATTGCAGTGGCAATTTCATGACTTTTCAAGCCCCTTCATAGATAGAAAAACATGAATATTCACAACACCTCAGGGATCTAGGTGAGTATCATTTCCATTTCTCTTCTAGAGAAAATGAGACCAAGAGACAAAGTGATTTGCTCAAAGTCACTCAAAGTCAGTTTAACAACTGTGATTAAAACTTGGGTGTTCCTGTCCAAGCTAAACCTCCCTCCACAAATGTGCTCATATCTAAGTTGGTTTCTCATTTATACCTTATGCTGTCTGCCAGCCTGCTTGACAAAAATATATGGAAACAAAATTATGTTATTTAATATTTTGTAGTGATACCTGGGGTTACTAACAAAGTAAGGCCTCTGGGCACCAAGCCAGACCTCATTATACTGAGTACTACCCAGACTTTTAGTAAAAAGGCCCTGCTTGCCCCAGATAGTTCACAGTTAAAGTTGTGACATTATACAACAGGTGGATATGTCAGTCAGATGAATGGGGTAGGGCTTAGGATGAGGAAATAATAAAGCAAACATTTTACTGTCTTGATTATAACTGGTAGCCTTTGTATCCATTATTGAAGCTTGGTTAGCAGTAGTGCTTCAAGCCCTAGGAGAATAGGTGAAAAAAAGTGTTAGAACTGCTTGTAAAGATAACTAATTTAAGGCAGTTCTTGAGAAAGCAAGAAGCAGAAGTATTGTCATCCGAAACAAAAACTACAGCTCTGAATCATGTCCCACAGAGGCTGCTTTGTTGATGCTGCATAGATGCTGCTGGCTGAGAGATGCCACATGAGCAACCTGTCCCCTTGTTGTAGGGACCAACTTCACAGGGAGGAGGGGCAGGGGTAAACTGTCATGTGCTTTGGGGATCATGTTCCCCTCCCACCCCGCAAAAACTGGTGATTGTATCGTATTGCAGCAATGACAATACAGGAGAGGGAGTATTGTGAAGGGGAGAAAGTGTAACCAAAATTTTCTGTACTTTTGACAAGTTGCTGTCTTGTCATTTTTTTCATCCCAAGCCCTTTAGGGCAAAGGATTGTCAGTTCTGTTTTTTTACAGTATATAGTATGATGGGGCTTCATCCATGTTTGGCTCTCCAGCCACTATACTACAAATACATGATGCAAATAACGGAGATTGTAGTAGCCCCTCCTCCGGAATTCCACTCTTTGGAGTCTTTGCAGCATTGTGATAGTGCAACAGGGGACTTAGACAGATCGTTCTATGTGATATGATTTCTCTTGGACCCCAAATAATTTTGAATACATTTAGGGTGGATGCTAATGGTTAGTGGACTAACATTAACACCTTGCAGATAGACAGCTACATATATTTGCTGTGCAGGCAGCAGGGAAGCTGTCTACAAGGTGAAAGGAAGCCTGCAGTTCAGTGTGGGCCCAGCTGCTTTTTGTTTTTAGCAAGGTCTGTTCTCTTCTGTGAGGCTCTGACATGATGTGGCTTGAGCATCTGGTCTCCTCTCTAGGATATTTTTCCTAGAGATGTCTGAGCTCTGTTTGTGTCTCAGTGGTTGAAAAAAACAGGCAGCTGAGGGGCTCTGAGCTTACAGAAGATGATCTGATCAGTGATCAGAAAACTCCAGGGTCATCTTGGACATTTCATTTAATATTGCTGTCCAGGCTGCAATGTTACTTAAAGACCTAACTGGATGCTCCAATGCATCAAAATACATGTCAGGAAATTTGTGCTAATACCCTTGCACTGAGGAATGTTGTGCCTTTTCTAGTGTCCTCCAGTTTCTGGTCTGACATACAGTAGTAACCTTGTGCATAACAGAAATCAATGAGTTCCCAACAGAAGTAACATATTTGATCTGAAGTATACAATGGAGGGAGTTGTGTGTGATGAACAACTGGAAAAACTAGAAACATGTTCACGTTAATTTACCCCCGGGTCAATTTTACCTTACAGATTCCATGCATTTGCCGAGAGAACTGATTATACAGATGTCATCGAACCTGTCATAAAGAGTGAGGAGGATGGAGAAAGTCTAACTAGCTGGAATACAAGAAAATTGAAAGGAAGGGTGCCTCTAGGTAAACTAAAACAAAATGAGAGGATGTTGATGTTTGTAATTAAAGGCTTCGGAATAGCAATGCAACGAAGGAAGTTTTGCCACATGTAAAATCCAAATGGGCATGGGCAGTGCTCCCACATCACCAGTTGGGAGCACACAAATGGAAGCTCGGTGCATGGGAAGGGGAGAATATATGATTATGTGGCTGGAGGGGGAAGAAATGAGGAAGAGAGGGATGGCATAAGGAGTTGAAGGAGGGTGGAGAGAGAGAGTTAAACATTTAAGGTCAGCTGTTTTGAAAGAGGAAGATGTTATGCTGGGTGTGCTGAGGAGGAGCAGTGACAGAAGGGAGAAAGGGTCAGGACAGATGGACTGTGAGGAGAAGATAAAGCTTAAGAGTTGCATGAAAGACTGGCAGAGACAATAGGCCATTTTATATCCTCAGATTTGATACAAGCAGGTATATCCACAGATTTGATATAAACTTTTGTAATCCCTGAAATTGAGTTGCTTATCCAAATTCTGATTTTGACTTATTGGAACAGACTGTAAAGGAGGAAAAAGAAAAGAGAACCCAGGGAATAGAAGTAGCCAAGAGAAATGGGGAAGAAAGCAAAAGAAGGCTAACAGAAGACTTTGAAACAAACAGAAGTAGAAGGGGAAAATATCCTGGTAGACTCATGACACTCCTGGTGGGTGTATAGACCATGGTGGCAGTGTGTCCTAGCTGGGACTCTCTCCAGCATACCCTGCCTGCATGCTTCTGCTCACATGCTCCAAACAAGGGACTGTATCAATTGTGCCAAGGTCACTACCAGCAGCTTTTATCCAAACTTTGATCTCTGGTGTCCTTCAGGGTGACTGCTGGGGACCCTGGAGCAACTTTACCACAGGATTTTCAGGTTTGGAGCATGAGAGTGAGAGTTGGTAGGTGGTTCTTTCTCAGCAACATCCTTTTTAGGGTTGTCTTGGTGTCATGAAATGTATGTATGTTGCTCTATGGGACTCAGATCAGAGGTTTGGCAGGGGACAAAATGAGGATGTTTTTGACATCTTTTGTATGCAAGATATTCAATATAAATAGTGTATTGCAAATGTCATGAAGTACAAGAGCAATAGGGAGAAAAGTAAAATAATTTTCCTATCTCTTCACTTATATGTGTGCACTGCTATAGTACTATATTTGTTCACAGACAACTGATCCTGTCATGTGTACCTTATTTTGAAAATGCTGAATGAAAAAGAAAAGATTTTTTTCAGAGTTATGCCTGCCTAGAGTTGGGTCAGAGTCTGATCTTCATCTGATTTGCCCTCCTTTTCCTATGTAGGCTGTGAAATAGGAGGAGCAGGAGCAGCTAGCAGACAGAAAAATTGCTCTAAGAAATGTTAGCTTGATTAGTGGAACATCAAGACAATTAAAAAGGAAAAATTATTGTTAACATAATTGGAGTGGAGAACAATTAGCCATTAAGTCCAATCGATTCCCTCAGCTTCCTGGATGCTAATGCCACAGCTGCTGCACTTTGGAGCAGAGATCAAAGCAGATGGCTTCTATCCCAGACAGAAAATCAGCTTCCCACACTCCAATTTTGGGGGGCTTATTTTGAGAGAAAAGGTGCATGTTGTGTGTGAGAAAATGTCGTATTTAAAGGCTTCATGATCATTGCTGTGTTTTCAACTTCCATTGACCTTTGGGAGGCAGAGAGACATTATTCTCATTTTACAGATGGGGCATCTGAAGCATACAGTAGATTAAGTAACTTGTTCAAAGTCTCACAGGGATTCTTTGACTGATTCAGGAATGTAACCCTCCTGAGTTCCAGCCCGGGCTGTTATCCAGTAGGAATCTTTCCTTCCTGCTCTTTACTAAGGTAATTAATAAAGTCAATGTAACACAAAAATGAAAATGGAGAGTGGGAAAGTGTCAGACTTTTGTTCCTCATGAAAGGAATCTCCTTCCCTGCGCCCCCTCAGCCTCCCATATAGGGTTTTGAAACTTCCAGCAGATTTAGCTTCTACATTCTTTTTTTCATTTAATTCTAATACAGAACTATATAGTGACTGTTTTCTGCCTGCTACCAGAGCTTCACTACTGGACCTCTTTATGGGGAGGGGCCTGTTTCCCCTTTCCCCAGGCATCTAGTCTGTTTCAATGGCTGGCTCTGAAGCTGCTGCCTGTCTGAAATTACCTCTACACTACTGTTTTGAAAGCTGAATGCTGAGTAGCTTTAATCACCCAAAAGTGCAGTAATCTCCTTGAAATGCATTGTCTGGTATGTCTCATTGCTTCCATGGAATAGAATTTACACATTAAAAAGGAACACAATTAGCCTTGTGCATTTATCGAGCATTATAGCCACGGTTATGACATCATTGGCAACCAATCAAAAATCTCCAGTTGTGTCCAGATTCTAAAATCCTTTCAGAACAGAAAATGCATTGGAGACATTCCTTTTTTCTTCCATGCCTGATGACTCTAGTTTCAGAATGCCTCTTTGAAGGCTGCAGAAGGCAATAATAATAAAAATGCTGATGACTAACTAATGCATTTAAAATGGTTTCTTGGTTATGTGGAATAAACTATAAAAATAAATAAATGGAAACTAAACTAGAAATTTACTCTTCTGTATCTGGTGTTTCATGTAAATTAAAGAGAGATATGACTGTTTTGATTCTGTCTCTGTATCACAAATGCAACAGCTGTAAGCTCAAACTTTTCATTAGCTTTATGGATGGAAGGAGGCTGTTTTAGAGACAAACACATCTGATAGTGTTCTAGGTACAAAAGGTGTGTTATCATTTGGCAAGTACAAGATTTATTCATTTTCATTTCTGTCCTGTTGAAATGAATGGGAAGTGGGCTACTTAAGAATGATGAGCTTAGTTCAGCATCCTAAATCTCTGCTGCTTTGCATTTTGTGTAGTCATTTAGAAAGCAGGGCCAAGGCACTACTAAATCTGAATGGTTTTGTTTTACATTTGCTTTGAACAGATACTAATGACTAGAAAAAAGATAAGGCAGTCAGGACTCTGGTGTTTTGTGGGTGCAACTTGACTTAAAACAGTGGAAATGCTCTCACTTAATGCAAAGTTCTGATTTGGCTCACTGTGGTGATACTTGCTTATCTTTCCAGTATTGATTTTCCTGCTACCCCTCTTGCCTTCATTCTGTAATAATACAGTACAGCTTTACTTTGAATGACAAATCATCTGCAAAAGTTACAGAATGCAGTAATATGATTATGGAGTTAGAAATCACAGAGGGAAGAAAGAATATACATATATAGGCAAAGGAGATGACATTTAAGATGGAACTTGATGACAGTGAAGGCTCACGAAATGAAGAACTGACAAAAGCTGCAGATGAGAAGGTTGTTTCAGCCCACACTGAGGGAAGGGAAACATGGGGAAGCAACATTATCTGAGTAGAGCTCCAAAGGAAAAAAGGACACACAGTTGTTTTTTTTTTAAATGAAGGGAGTTTTGAACTGATTCTTGCAGTGAACAGAGGTACATCGTTGACTGAAACTGGGTTGAGGGTAAATCTTTGCACTGTTTTCTCTGCATGCTAGATAGAGCCTGGTGTGTTGGGACTTACGGAGGTTGTAGAGAAGTGTCATCTCTATGAATTCTTTAACTCACTCTCTGAAATCATAGATGAACACTTGATTGATGTGAAGAATTTGAAGGTGTGTATCCTTCTATGTACACAGACACATACAGACCTATTGAATAAGTATGTTCCAAGCTGCACTTGATGATGATGCTTTTGTCTTGCTTGCAAATAATGACAAATACACTAAAATTCTACTTAACTGTCTGTATTTATCTTGTGATTACATGCATAGAATATCAGGATTATAATAGGCCAAAGAGAAAGCACAAAAGCATCAATCTTAGCTTGGGCTTCTCTGAGAAACTGAGGTAAATTCACTTTACTTAGGGCATCTGCACAGAATTGAGGTGGGTGGAATCCATAACCCACCCCCAGAATACCAGCTCACCTTCAGAGCTGCAGCAGAGGCTGTTATGAGTAATAGCACAGGCTGTTATCCCTTCTTTCTATCTAGAGAGGATTTTTTTACTAATGGATCTACATAGACTTGTCTTACTCTCCTAACCTTGACCTGCCACTGCCTATGAACCCTGCTAGAAGTCAGATTTAGCCTCTTGGCAAGAATAAATTTCCCTGCTGTCTAACTTACCAGGTATGTGAGCTGCCTTGTGGACCTGGTTAAGCTCTTCCATGTGCTGACTTAGACATCAACACTTTAGAGACTACTGCTATGTTCTGCTGCCACACAGAGGCTGAGGCAGAGATCAGCAATGAGAAAGTTAATGCCTCTGTTGCTTTGCATGGAAATTAAGTTAGAGCAACTTAAAACATATCTCCTCTTTTCCTTGCTTTTTGCAAGTAGAGCCTGATTTAAGTCAGGGGATGACAAAAATAATGAGCTATCCTCTTTTCTACAACTTAATTTAGTTTCTTTCTTGTTCTGTGATTTCTTTGACTTTTAAAAATGCTGCTTCATTTTTTAAAGCTGGGGTGGCTGTGAGTGAATTGTTACTTTTTTTTGGACATGCGGTCCGGTACATTGAAGTGACTTTGGGAACAGCCTGCAGGTGGGTTTGGCATTTGGAGGTAGGAATAGAGCAGATTTTGTTATGAGTACTAAGATTAATGGGGAGGTGACTGGTGGTGGGGGTTATGGGGCTGTGTGTGTGTGTTCAGATTGCCCACTGAAAAGTCAGCATAAAATGTGACCAGGTTATAATGCTGCACTTGCAGTTTTCCTCCATTGTTTTTCAGCTCCTTCCCCCCTTGGCAGTGCAGAAACTGAGTATTCCCTTACCCTCTTTTCCTTTGTTGGCAGGGCTCTTTATGCTGTTCTCCTCATTCCAGATCCCCTATATTTGCCCTTCATGACAAGCACTTTGTGTGACCCCCCACTCTCCCTTCCCTACTCACCTTTCCATAGTGAGGGCCTTGCATGTACCTGCATTCTCTTCTTTTGTGTT